CCACCTGATGGCTAATAACCATCTCTAATTCCAGTTCCAGGGGTTCTGAGCCCTCTTCTGGCCTTTTGTGGGCACTGCATGACATGGGTACACTTAGACACATATAAGCAAAAATCTTTAAAAAAAAAAAAAAAAGAAAGAAAGAAAGAAAAAGAAATGATATGAAGTTTAGAGGGCACATTAGCAACGTATGGTGGCACATTCTGTAGGTTTTCTGCCTTGTGCCGACAGTAGAGGGAAGGGTCACTAGGAAACCTGTGCCAAGTCTGAAAGTCTTCCTAGCTATACTCTTCTGCAACTTCTCCTTGTACAACCAACAATACTCCCGCCCTTGAGACCTCTCTGAGAAGGCAAGGTCTGATTCCCTGAATCCCACCCCTTTAGATGCACACTTCCGTTTGCCCACTAGCTGAGATACTTGGCGCTACCTGGCTACCCTCCTTCACACCCAGGTCTCCGCCCACCCATGACAGGCAGAGAATGATGTGTCTTCCTCTTTGTGGCTGGGAAGTTAGATACTGTCCTTTACATTCAGAAAAGTAGATGTCACTTCTTCCTTCACCTCAGATCCCTGTAGGAAACCCCTGCCTCTGGTACACCCCTACCTGACAGCCTTCGCTGAAACCTAAGCTGTTCCCTAGTCCTGAGAGGTAGGTGGCAGAGGACAGTCCTGAGGAAGTTTATTGTCCCATCTTTTGTAACACTGACAATGAGGGTTTTTTCCTTTTCTCTTTTTCTGTCTTATCTATGTTTTTCATTTTGTTTATACAACGAAGGCTTCCCCCTCCACCCCACCCCATCACCCTGTAGTCTTTACATGAAGTTCCCCTGATGAACTCCCAGTTGAGTTCAGTTCCAGGAAAAAATTTGTTCTGAAAGTTCATTTGTATGCTTTCTGTTGTCTCCAATCCAAAACTATGCAATCCAGTGCATTTTTGTTTGTTCCTAAGCTGCCAGAAAACTGGGAGCCAAATTCATTGTCCAAGTGTTGTAATCTTCTCCATTCAGGCCGTTCAAAATGTCCACTTCTTTTCCTTTTTTCTCCTGAGCATTCTTTTTTTTGGGGGGGGGTCTTTTCCAGACAGAGTCTCCCTGTAGCCCCAGCTGGCCTGGAACCCACTTTTGTAGACCAGGCTGGCCTTCAACTCACAGAGATTCACCTACCTCTGCCTCCCGAGTACTGGGAGTAAAGGTGTGTGCCACCATACCCGGCTCTCCTGAGCATTAAAAAAAAAAAATTATTTTTATTTTATGTGTATGTGTATTGCCTGCATGTGTCTAAGTGCACCCATGTTCTGCAATGCCCGAGGAGATCAGAAGAGGGTGTGGGATTCCCCTGAACTAGAGTTACAGATGGTTGTTAGCTGCCATGTGGATGCTGGGAATTGAACCTGGGTCCTCTGCAAGAGCAGCCAGTGCTCTTAGCTGAGCCACCTCTCCAGTCCCTCTCTTGAGTATTTTTGTATTTGGTTTTAGTTTAAGTAACATCATCCTATGACCAAACCATCACCAGCGCCTATCTCTTGACCTCTGGATTCCATCCACCCTTTCCTGCTTCACCACTACCATCCCCCATCCCCCACTAGGGAGGAACCTGACTGGACATTGCAAAATATTGCTCTCACTGGCCCAAAGGCTTTCTAAGACACAGAACAAGGCCACCACTCCTGTTTTGTGGAACTCCTTCTCCCACAAATTGTTCCTTGCCCTGCCTTGCTGAGGGGGCTTGGCGGGGGGGGGGGGGCTCACCACACTGTAGGCACACTGGATTCTCTCCATACTTGACTCTCCCCTCTCTTTTGGTGACTTTGCACATATTGTTGTCTCTGCCCAAAACAACCTATACACTTTCTTGGTAAAGAAACTTCCAGGGTTTAGCACAAGCATGCCCTCTGAACTGGGACCCTCTGGATTCTCTTGGTTTTATGGTATGCAGCATGAACAGCCCATGCCAAGCCATAATGGTGAGTTTCTGGAAGGAAGAGAAAGACCTTCTTCATGACTGTCTCCAGCGCCCAGTACCCAGAGCCATTTATATGAATGATGACATGCCCAGGCAGGGTTCAAGTCTTCTGAAATAAAAGACTGGACACTAACTGGGTGTGGTGCTGCACACCTTTAAGTTCTAGCACTCTGGAAGCAGAGGCAGGCAGATCTCTGTGAGATGGAGGCCAGCTTGTTCTACATAGTGAGTGCTAAGCCAGCTGAGGCTAGAGAGAGACCCTGTCTCAAAAAGACAAAAAAAAAAAAAAAAAAAAAAAGAGTGGACACTAGACCTCTGCCAGCTTCTTCATTACAGTCTCTTAAGAGGTGGTGAGATGATCAGTTCAATCCCTCAGACTAATATTATAGAAAGTGACAACTCCCCAGGGTTGTTATCTGACCTTTATATGCATCCATATAGACAGATACACACACACACACACACACACAAAATAATAAATAAGTAAATAAATAAATAAATAATTCAAAAAATGGTATCCAGGGGATAGGTGAGATAAAGGTATTTGCTGCTAAGCTTGATGACCTAAGAATTTAATCCTTGGGACTCACATGGTGGAAAGAGAGAAGTGACTCCTGTAAGGAGTCCTCTGATCTCCACACATGCACCATGGCACATGTGACTACACAATGTACACATAGGAGCACACAGGCATGCACATGAACAAAAATGTAATAAAAAATGTCAATGATAGGGCTGGAGAGATGGCTCAGTGGTTAAGAGCACTGACTGCTCTTGCAGAGGACCTGGGTTTGATTCCCAGCACCACATGGTGGCTGACAACCGTCCATAGCTCCAGTTCCAGGGGATCGGAATTCTTCTTCTGACCTCAATGGGCACTGCACAACACGGGTGCACTTATACATATGCAGGCAATACACTCATACACATAAAAGTAAGATGATAAAATATAATTTTTTTAAATGTCAATGAAAAAGAGAGCTGGAGATGTAGCTGAGTTGGTAGTGTGCTTGCCTAGGATGCTCAAAGCCCTAGGTTTGATGTCTATCACTGTGTAAAGGCAAATGGCACACCTTGTAGTTCTAGCACTCGGGAGGTAGAATCAGAGGGATCAAAATTTCAAAGTCACTGTCTGCTATATATCATGGTCGAGACCCGCCTAGACTACACAAGACCTTGTCTCAACAAAACAAAAAACAGTCTGTGAACAGGGCCCGGCAATGCTCATGTGTAATCCTGCACTCCAAAGGCTAAGACAGGAAGATCATAAGTTGAAGGCTAGCCTGGCCCACAGGGTGAGACCCTGCCTCAAACAAACAACAGTCTGTGCTTCCATTTGCCTTCAGCTTCCTCTCAGAATCCTGCTCCAGGGGCTAGACAGATGACTCAGCTGTTAAGAGCACTGGCTGCTCTCTCAGGGGACTGGGGTTGGGTTCCCAGCACCCACATTGTGGCTAACAACCATCTGTAACTCCAATTCCAGGGGATCTGACACCCTGTTCTGGTCTTTGAGGGCATTGCACACACAGGTGCACTTATATACATGCGGGCAAAGCACTCAAACACATAAAATAACAACAACAACAACAATAATAAAAAGATTCTCCCCTCCTAAGTGGCCCATCATCCCTTAAACATTTTAGTCCACTCCAGGTGTTTGAGAGGTGTTTGAGACAGCAAGGAGAAAGGCTTTGTTCCTTTTCTGTAGGAACCACAGAAATATGAAAGTATTCCATAACAAATTACCTTAGAGTGCCCATTATATATAACAAGATTACCCCACCCCATAATTACCTGATGTCATTTGGGGAGTTGAAGTCACAACCCCAAAGCCAAGTCATCCTGCTCCTTCCCCAGCAGGTTGGTTAAATCAGGGTCCCTGGCACTTCCCTTTTCACTCCAGGACTGCGGAGGGCACTCCCCAGCTTCCTGTCGCGGCCCCTCTAGGCCAGGATTCCTCGAACTGGCCTCCCTCTGGCTCAGTAGTCTGACTCCAGATCCCTGTGACCTTCCTAACCACGATTACATTCTATGTTGTTAAGACTTCCCCCTGGGCTCCATCAGCTCCCAACTCCATCCTTGAGGGAAAAGTGGGAGAAGGAAAATTCAGTCATCCTTACCTCCCTCCCTTTCCAACACTGCAAAGCCTGGACACAGTAAGGGGAGTTGGTCTGGTTGCTCAGCCGTCTGGCCTCCCCCACCCCAGCCCGCACACTCACACTCAGACGCCCTGGAGCCCCTAGCACTGCGCGCCTGGTTTCCGCAAGTTTCGAGGCGCGGGTTGGTGGCTTCCCGGCTCGGCCCTGGAAATCATCTCTACCCGGGAAAAGATCTGGACCCCACTTCGTACAAATGAGGCAGGATGTGGCCCTGGCGTCCCCAGCGCCGCCGGCAGGGAGCCCAGGCTCGCGGGTGCCCGGAGCGGCTCCGCGGCTCGTTCCCGGAGCCCCGCTGTCCCCTCCCCGCGCCTCGCACCCCCCGCGCTCGTCCCGCACCCCGTCCTACCTCCGCGCGGGCGGCGGCTCCGCGATCTCCCGGGCG